TTCCAACCCAAACCAGGCTGGGATTCTGTGTCAGCACAGGAGCTGAGATTGCCCTGTAGGTTTGGTCTCAGTCTGCTTTAGATGCAAGCATCAGAACAGCAACAAAGGAAACCGAGTCAGCCAAGGGAACACACAGAGGTTGAAAGATGACTTTTCCCAGTTGCAACACCCGGCCAAGCACAGGTAATGGCACAGCAGGACTCAGCTTCTGCAGCCACGTATGTCTATAGCAGCAATGGGATGACTAAACCTGCAGAATCAGGGGACAGTCCCTGATGAAGGTCCCTCCCCAGCATCCTTGTAGCCCCCTTCAGACACTGGAAGCTGCTCTGAGGTCTCCAGCAGCTTCTCTTCTCCAGGCTGAACAGCCCCAATGTTCTCAGCCTGGCTCCACACGGGAGCTGCTCCAGTCCCCTTACAGCCAAGGTGCTGGGCAGCTGACAGGCACAAAGAGCCACCACAAACGTGGACAAGTTCAGCAGAGTTCAGCTTTACTCCCCGAGGGGCTGGAGGGGGAGATGGTCACCACTGAAGCGTGGTATTAAGCAAACCTGACAACTGGGGAAGTTGCCAATTTTAGCAATAGCTGAAACCATTTATATACTGGGGGGGGGGGAAGTTGTCAGAGGGGAACGTGATGCAAGAGATGCCTCAGACTCTCACGCTGGGAATGCCAACTCACTGGCATTACTATAGCAACTATATTTACGTTTAAGCTCTCATTATTTGCTATAAGCCATTCCTAGGCGGTTTGCTAAGGAATTGAGGCTTGAGAGCTTGTGCAAGCCTATTTGTCTGCCCATCCTAATGGTTTCCAACTGGCCAATTCCAACCTAGTTTAATGGCGAGGTGGCAATATGAAAGATATGAAAGTCCTGAGTGTTTCATGCAATGGCAGCAGCTGGGTAAAGAGAAATTAGCATCTCGGTTCTATCCCCAAGGGAAAGGCCCTAGGGCAGGCTCAGCCATGCAATTCAGCATCAGAAAGTCCAGCAGGAAGAGAGCCAGTGAATGAAAGCTGCAAAGAAACCCCCAGGCTTCACATGTCAGGCTGCTCCAAGAGCCTTTTGCATACGTGCTTCTAGCATCTCCTCACAGACACAGTGTGGGCTGCTTTGGAGGCTTGTCTTGTTCCTAAAGCTCGCTCCTGCTGTCATACAGAGGGTGAACAAACAGCTCAGAGGAGCCTTACCTGAACGGCTCTTCCCATCCTTTGCATGGACATCAGCACCAAGGGACAGCAGCGTCTGGATGGTGTGTGCATGTCCTTCCTGCAGTGGTGAGCACAGGCACAAGGAAGAGTCAGCAACGTGCAATTCCCAGCTATACATGTAGCAGAAATAACACAGGCCTGAAGAGAAAGAGAGCCACAAGGGAGCTGGTGCTAACGGCATGTGGCAGCAGGGAGGGCACAGACACAAATCCACTCTGTCATTGTCAAATGTGCAGCTACCAGGAGCTGCTCCAGGCTCCAAAGGAAATCAAGGTCATAGAATCCCAGACTGGTTTGGGTTGGAAAGGACCTTAAGATCATCCAGCTCCAACCCCTGCCACGGGCAGGGACACCTTCCACTAGAGCAGGTTGCTCCAAGCCCCTGTGTCCAACCTGGCCTTGAACACTGCCAGGGATGGGGCAGCCACAGCTTCTCTGGGCACCCTGTGCCAGCGCCTCAGCACCCTCACAGGGAAGAGCTTCTGCCTTATCTCCAACCTGAACTTCCCCTGTTCCAGTATGAACCCATCACCCCTTGTCGTGTCACTCCAGTCCCTGATGAAGGTCCCTCCACAGCATCCCTGTAGCCCCCTTCAGACACTGGAAGCTGCTCTGAGGTCACCACACAGCTTCTCTTCTTCACTGGGGCCATTAGCCAGGGATAGCCCAGGTAGAGCAGACACACTGCTGTCACCCCAGGGGAGGTGGCCAGAGAAGCCACCAGGCACCTTCTGCATCCCTTCCACTGGTAGCCCGTGAGAGGAGTTAGAGCTTGACCCTCAGTCAGCATGTCTACATGCCTTCCATGTCCCTGGAAGCAATTTCAACCCAGCAAGAGGCATCCCAGGAGCATAATTCTCTCTGCATACATCTAACATCACGTTTTAAAATCAAAAGTGTCCAATTTTGACCAAGAGTGCCCAAAATCATGTTATGGTGCAGAGCTGTCTATGGCAGTGGTGCTTCCACCACCAAAGTCTGAGCAATGCTTTGGCAGGGCATGTGTGATAGACACACAACCCAGTCCAGATCCTGACAGATGGGTCTGCTTTTACACCTTTAGATCCCACAATGATCCTCCTAATTATGGTCCATAGATTTACCTCACACAGCTTGAGGTGTGAGGAATCAGGAGGACTGTCTCCCAGTGTGGCTCTGAAGGAGTTAATGCACAAAGGACCTCTGAGAACCGGGTGACACAACCTAAAGATGTTTCTTAATAGCAATTAGTGCACTAATTTGTCAAGTGCTCCTGCCTTTGCCTTTCCAGTCCTCGCCTCCAGGCAAGTAACTCAATTAAACTGCTTTTAACTTCAGCTGGTCCCACAAGTGGAGGATCCCTCACTTACCTTCTGTAATTGGCCACCAGCTGTTAAAAGGACTAAATGTCAGCAAAACCCCTTCTCCTACACTGTAAATCCACTTCAAGTACCGCAGGGACCCAGAGGTGCTCCTGCCGAGGTGGATTTCAGCTCACAGAGCAGAACCTGGTCCTTACAAGAGACATTGAGGTGCTGGAGCGGGGCCAGAGAAGGGCAATGGAGCTGGAGCAGGGCCTGGAGCACAAGTGTGATGGGGAAGGGCTGAGGGACCTGGGGGTTTAGTGTGGAGAAGAGAAGGCTCAGGGGGGACCTGATCGCTCTCTGCAACTGCCTGACAGGAGGATGGAGCCAGGAGGGGGCTGGGCTCTGCTCCCAAGGAACAAGGGATGGCACAAGAGGAACCGGCCTCAAGCTGCCCCAGGGCAGGTTTAGCTGGAGCTGAGGAACAATTCCTTGCCCAGAGGGTGCTCAGGCATTGGAACAGGCTGCCCAGGGCAGGGCTGGAGTCACCGTCCCTGCAAGTGTTCACAGCCCGTGGAGCCGAGGCCTCAGTGCCAGGGGTCAGTGGTGGCCTTGGCAGGGCTGGGAATGGTTGGGCTGGATGAGCTTGAAGATCTTTTCCAACCCAGTTGATTCTGTGGTTCTATGATGTGAACTGTTGCACATCTGCCTGCGGTACCCTCAGCACCAGTATTTCCTCAGGGATTACTCCAGTATTTGTAACTCCCCGTGAGAAGAGGCAGAACACCACACTCACACACCGTCACAACCCGCAGCATCCTCTGCCCCCCCTCTGCCAGCAGCCAATTTGAAACGCTGCAGGGGAAGATGCAACACAGCCCTCCCCTCTGCTCCCTTCTCCATAAATAACCCTCTCTCCCTGAATAACACGCCTGACTTTGTAATGTCTTCAGTGCAATGAATTAGTCTTTGTTGTGTGGTATGAGAATGGAAGGCTCTTATTTTTAGCCCTAACACCCCCTCTTTTCCCCCCACCCCATCATCATCATACGACTCAGTAGCATCTTCCCCCCCTGCTCAAGGTTCCCATTTCCCTGCTGTATGTAGCAAAGACAGTGAGCCAGGAGCCGCTTTAGCTGCCACAGCCTTGGCAGCAAATTGAGTTGAAAGCATAATTTGATTTTCATGTATTTATAAATGCAAAGTAATAAGAAAAGAACTAAAAACCCCATCAACCCACCAGCCAAACAAATGATGCTGTAAATATAAAGTGACACTGAGCCTCGGGAAGGAAGAGAAACCCATCAAATCTCTCCCCAGTCAGCCTCTCTCCAAGACAGAGCTGGGATCTTCTCCAAGGCACATTATACTCCCCAATAGCCTTGCTGTTGAACGTACCCTTGGCAACCAAAAGGGCTTTCAACATGGTTTCTTAGAGCATGAGGAAGAGAAGCTGGGAGAAAGGCCTCTTTTGTGGGAGCCAGCAAATGGCCCGGCTGGGTCCTGCTGGAGGTGAATGCTGTTGCCAGCACTCCAAGTAAGTGTCATTGATGCTTTTGTGGGAGCAGGGTGCTGGGTTGCTGCTTTGTTCCCACTACAAGTCTAGACTGGGCTCTCAATGCTGCATGTTAAAGCTCACAAGGTTTAACATGCAGGGATCCGAGCAGCGACCTTCCCTTGCTGCTGGCTGCCAGCGTGCTGCACGCTGCTGTGACAGCACCAAGCATAAGGGAGGCAGCAGGTTCCCAGAAGGGATCCTGGTTAGTGCCGAGGCTGTTGGGATGTGCTCTGCACTCCCAGGGAGCGTTGCAGAGTCCAGAGCACATCAGGTCCCACTTCCCACACAGGCAGGAGATCGGAGGAAGAGAAAGCTCAAACAACTCCCGCTGCCTGGAATTCAAAACAGCTCCAGAGCGAAGGACGCAGATAAGCTCCTGGAAGTTCCCTCCACCTCTTCTCCTCTCCTTTCTCATGTCTGGCTACGGGCAGGCCAGATCCCAGCCGACTGGGACAAACAACTGCTGGTTTGCAGCACACCAGGAAGCTGCTGACATGAAGAGTGAAGACAGAGAAAGAAATCAGAGCAGCGTCCCATCCACGTCTCCTCTGTCAGGTGAGTGAAGAGACACTGGTGAAGAGCTGTCACAGCTCATGAAGTTTTGGTACCTACAGCTTCCAGTAACCAGCAGGGTGGGCTCCCTTCAGGTATTCAGTGTGAGCAGCAGGTCGAACGAGGTGACCCTGCCCCTCTGCTCTGCTCTGGTGAGACCCCACTCACAGCACTGGGTGCAGTTCTGGGGTCCTCAACATCAGAAGGACATGGAGCTGTTGGAGCAAGTCCAGAGGAGGCCACGAGGATGAGCAGGGGCTGGAGCAGCTCCCGTATGGAGACAGGCTGAGAACATTGGGGCTGTTCAGCCTGGAGAAGAGAAGCTGCTGGAGACCTCAGAGCAGCTTCCAGTGTCTGAAGGGGGCTACAAGGATGCTGGAGAGGGACCTTCATCAGGGACTGGAGTGACAGGACAAGGGGTGATGGGTTCAAACTGAAACAGGGGAAGTTCAGGTTGGAGATAAGGCAGAAGCTCTTCCCTGTGAGGGTGCTGAGGTGCTGGCACAGGGTGCCCAGAGAAGCTGTGGCTGCCCCATCCCTGGCAGTGTTCAAGGCCAGGTTGGACACAGGGGCTTGGAGCAACCTGCTCTAGTGGAAGGTGTCCCTGCCCGGGGCAGGGGTTGGAGCTGGAGGAGCTTTAAGCTCCCTTCCAACCCAAACCATTCTATGACTCAATTGCACTTTGGTCCAAAGGCAGTGGACTGGAAGAGTAACACTCACCAGAGTGTGGGTCAAGCCCTATCCAGGGCACAGTCAACTGGATGAATAGCAAACGATTTGAGCCCTATCACCACCCACCTCTACTGCTCAGCCATGTGCAAGGCAGGAGGGTTCACTAACCCTTAGGACAGCCAGTGGCATGGGCAGGAGGGTGGAGAATAGAGCAACTGATACCCACCACCCCTGTGCAGACAGCTGGACACACTTAATGAGGTCTAAACCCCATTAAACAGGGTATGGGACTGGTTAGGAGCAGACAGTGTAAATCCTGCACCAGAGGTGAGCATTTAAGCCAGCCTTGTTTAGATGCCTGCTTGTAGCACAACCAGCTGGCATGGACACTGTAGAGGAACAAACCTTGGCTGCATAGTGCAGTGCTGTGAGCTGCAGGGCTGTCGCTCTCTCATTGACATCTACACCCAGCTCAGACACAAGGAACTGGATGGCTTCATCCTGTGCTGTAACTGCCGCCCGATGCAGAGCTTGAGCACCCAGTGCATCCACAGCTGTAGGACAGGCCTGGAATGGGGGAAGAGGGAAAGGGAAAGCAATGAACAGCATGGCCAAACCTTCAAGGACAATGACATGCTGGAGCAGAATCGTGTCTGCTGGCCATGGTGATGGCAATGAACACATGGGGTGTCCCTAGCAGTTGGTAGCACCGTGATTTGCAGACCAAAGGCAGCTCTCAGCTAAGCTTGTTAAGAGATAAGCAAAACTAGTACGAACAAAGAACAAAGCCCCTTCTCTCTTCTGCTGGAGAACATACAGTGGGGTTTAACTCTTCAAACCAGCAAGAAACAACCCAACTCCAACCATTGTGCTGGTGGAGAAGCAGCTGAACATGGGTAGAGGGAGGGAGATGGGTGGATGACCTCATGAGATCTCTTGTGTGAGTCTCTGACCATAAACCACAATGACATTAAATTGAGAAGGGTAACAGAAGTAATACACAGTGAGTACACTCATCTTAAGGGATATAATCCAGCCTCTTGAAGCCTGGTGGGCCTGACTCATGGCTTTATTATCCTAGAAGGTAACAACACTGCCATTAGCATTTCTTGTGCTGCTTCATGGCACTAAACCAGGGCATCACAGTGAGGAAATCAAATCAACTATTCCATCTTCACTGCGTGAAACATGGGACTACAAATGTAACCAACCTTCACAAGTGTTTTATCCTGTAAGGACCAGATGAGCAAAGATAAGCACATGAACCTCTGAAGTCAATCAGCACCTATGCACTCAAACACAACCTGGGCATCAAACCATCTCTGCTGGGTGAGGCTCTGTGTTACAGCTTGTGCTCTTGAGAAGTGTGGCACCACCTTCCCTGGCCTGCTCTGTGCCATGCTGGGGGCTCAGGTGGCCAATTCCACCTCCCTGTGTGGCACAAGCAGATTAAGTCTATGATTCTATGGCTGGTTTTGCCATCCTGCCAGGCCAGTGAAGTGCACTGGCTCAGGATGGTGCCCAACAAACACCAGAGCTAGTGCAGGGGAGAGGCAAAGCAGACAAGGAGGCTCTCACCTCTGTGAGAATCAGCCCTGAGGTGGGCTCCAACCACCTCACAGCAATTCAGCAGGCAATAAGAGGGCAGCGGTCTGGTTCCTGCTATGTACAACTGGCTCTGCTCACACCCCTTTATGCCTTGTGTGCTGGAGGGAGCCAGAGATTACTGGGACACAACATGGGAGCAGCAGCTGCCATGAGAGACGGAGGCACAGCCTGACACCTCCGTGTTATTCACCCTCAGCACTGCCACCAGAGCCACCACGCTGAGCCCTGGCACTCCCAGTGCTGGTCTTGGCTTTGACACAGCAAATCCCATCCCCTCCTGCCACTGCCTTGTGTCTCCATCCCCCTTCACCAGCTATGGGGACATATCCCTACCCCTGGGCGAGATCTGCACCATGAGCTGAGTCCTGGTGCTCATCTCCAGGGGGAATTGCCCTTCTTTTGCAATTCACTTCTTTACACTTTGGGAATCTGCTTCACAGGAACACACGGACTGCCTGTCCTGGCAGTTCTAGGCCAGGTCCTGGAGGAGGGAGCTGAGCTTTTTGGCACCCACCTGGTGTTTTTCCAGGAGCAGCCGGGCAATGCCGACGTGCCCATTCTGGATAGCATCCATAAAGGGAGTGACTCCACATTTATCCCTGCTGTCAGGTTTGTAGTGGCACCTGGGAGGGAAGAAAAAAGCCAGGACAGAGTTGTTGGTTGTTCCAAAATCCTTCCTGCACTAGTTGCTCTGCATTGGTGGGGTGGGAGACTATTGGTGGATGGGACTGGAAGTGGCATATACCATGGATAAACCTATCTCAGTGCTTTCTGCCCTGTAGTGTGGTTTGCTGGGATTTTTGGGGCCAGAGAACTGGTATTCAGCTGGTGCAGCTTGCTACAGGAAAGCCAAGGCTCTACAGATGATTTCCCTTGCCCCCCCAAACCAGGATGTTTTTGGGGTAGGAGGCAGAGGACAAAGCCATATCCTCATGTAACACCCCATACAAAATCAAAGCCCAGAAATCTCACTCAGGTTAAAGCTCCATTGAAATACGACTAAATTGAAATGCAAAGCCTGGCTCAAATCACAGGCCTGTGTTTATGCTGGGCCAACCCTGGACAGGAAATAACAAGGTTGGGATGAGTTGGTTAAGAGTAGCCACGGTTGTGATGCTCAGGGAAAGCTGCTGGCAGCTGGTTTGGAAGGTATCAGGGTCAGGAAGAGAGGGCACAAGCTGATTTAAAGCCACTTCACGGCAGTATCCTGGAAGCTACAGCCTGAAAATAAAGCCTGGGGGCTAAGCCCAGCCTGGGGGGTTTAGTGTGGAGAAAGCTCAGGGGGGACCTGATCGCTCTCTGCAACCGCCTGACAGGAGGATGGAGCCAGGAGGGGGCTGGTCTCTGCTCCCAAGGAACAAGGGATGGCACAAGAGGAACCGGCCTCAAGCTGCCCCAGGGCAGGTTTAGCTGGAGCTGAGGAACAATTCCTTGCCCAGAGGGTGCTCAGGCATTGGAACAGGCTGCCCAGGGCAGGGCTGGAGTCACCGTCCCTGCAAGTGTTCACAGCCCGTGGAGCTGAGGCCTCAGTGCCAGGGGTTAGTGGTGGCCTTGGCACTGCTGGGGTGGCCTTGGCAGGGCTGGGAATGGTTGGGCTGGATGAGCTTGAAGGGCTTTTCCAACCCAGCTGATTCTACGACTCTGGAGGAGCTGCACCCAGAACTGAGCTGTCAGAAAACTGGTTTGTTGCTATCGTGTGGCCTCGGACACCCTGGGAATGAATCAGCGCAGAAAAGGAGCCGTTACACAACCAGGGTTTATGTCATAGCCAAGTCGGAGCCCAGCCGGAGCATCCTTGTCTCAGAGGGCTCCAACCAGCTGTGAAAAGCCCAGAGGAAACGGACACAGCCTCGGGATCGCACGCGGGGCAGCTGTGCAGCCAGGCTTCCCGAACGGAATGAATGCCTTTTTGTGTCCTGGAGCGAGCCTGGCAGCGGATGGGAGGCAGGGAATTGCTGGGAGGATTCCTGCTTACCGCTCCAGGAGCAGCTCCACGACATCGGAACAACCGTGCATCGCTACGAGAGAGGAAACGCAGCGCTGGGTTACGTTTTCACGCCATACACTGAAACATACTGAGCTTTCTGCCCCTTTTGGCTTACTCACAATGAGGGAAGGGCTTCCAAGAGGCTTTAAATTCAAAGCTTTGGGGTTTTTCTCCAGATCTCAAGCCTTCTCTAAAAAACTGATCCTATAGGAAAACACCAGACAAACCAGGGGAAAGGCACCGTTTGCCTCTACCTGCAGAGTACAAGCAATTAAGCTGACACAAAAATCTCTTCTTACAAGTGTTTGTTAATCCCCGAAGTGAAATCTGGGAGAACCAGGATGAACACAGAGTAAGGAGCTGGTGAACAGCTGGATGGTATTTTCCAAGCCCTCCTCAGTCACTACCCATCACTCCCATCCCATCATCCTAATGAAACATCCTCACCCTGACAGCAGCATCTCCGAGGAAAAACAACAACAGTGGGGGAGGATCTGAACATCCTGCACTGAAACAGTCTCTCTTGTAATAAAAACCAACCACACGTTGTATTACTACAATGTCAGGACAGCCTCAATCTGGCTTTTTGGCTTTTTTTTCCCCCCCTCTTGAGGTCATTTTGCAAATGAAATGAAATACATTAAAGGCAAAAACCCAACAAACCAAGCCCAGAGCTGCTACAACAGGCTATTTACTGCGTGTGAGGGAAGAAGGGCCCCTGGTACATGTGTGTTACCAGCAATAACTTTCAGACACAGCTGCACAATAGCTGCCCTTTGAAAGCCCAAGGAAGGGCTCCCATCCTCCCAGATCTTGGCCATTTGCTCTCTTTGCCTCAGGCTACGGATATATGAAGCAGCAAAGCTTAAGGAACCAACATGAAAAAGGATTGCACAGGGGAGAAAATTACGCAGGGATAACTGTGCCAGGAAGCCAGCTGGCCTGGTCACGGGTTAATGTGCTCATATCCACACCCTTGGGATGTCAACTCATTGAGACAGCAGTTTGTCTGGACGTGATTTCCCCCGGCATCCTCTCCAGCCCCTCATCCATGTCCCTGTTTCAGGAGCTGTGTCCGTGTAACTGGGCTTTATGGTGGGCTGTGTGGAGATGCTGGCACCAGCACCCACCCAGCAGCAGCCTCCAGCATCGTCCTGGGTTAAAATCATGCTGGGAACCAAAGGTGAAAAAAAATGCCACCCACGCCATTCCGGCGGCCCAGTTGCTCCCACACCGGCTGCTGCTCTGCCAACATGTGGTCCAGGTCTAACCTGGAACAGTGAAATAACCAGAAATCAACCCAAACCATAGGGTGAGGGCTTGGCCACAGTGGAAGTCAAACACAGGAGGTGACACAGAGGCTGAAATACTTCTATGAAGCAGTGAGAACTGGGTGCTGGATCCCACTGTTGCTGCCTGTACCCCCATATCCCAAGCACTATGAGGCAGGGAGGAGACTTTAAGCTCAAGGTCAGAAGCACTCCTTTTCCTCAGGACAGTCCTCACCCTGCTCCTAATTCTGCCCCCAGACCCTCAACTCCCCAGTGTGGGGAGAGGGTTGAGAGGGGGCTGTGAGCCCAGCCTGCCAGCCCAGACATGGAAACACAAGAGCTGGGATTGAGCAGGGGCAGGAGAACACACAGGCAAACAGGGATTAGCCATTTCTCACTCACACAACCTGCTCCTCACCAGCCAGCCTGAAACACCAAACAACTCATCATTCCCAGGTCGAGCGCAAGGAGTAAGGCACAGCCAATGCTCCTGGGCTGGGACTGTCACAGCTGATGAGCACAGTGCAGTGGACAGGCAACTCCTGAGGGTCGGAGAAGGAATGGGAGTGACAGTCGAGGAGCAACATACCCAACAGATTCATTACAGCACAGCAAGGCTCTCTTTACACCACCTCGGGTCCTTCCAGAGAGTCAATCCCTATGAAATTCTTTGGGAAATGAGTTTAGGTAGCTGCAGGTTTGAGCAGTGGCTCCCCATGCTCATCTCTCCTGCAGAGACACTGCCAAACCCTTGGGGG